GGCGGGAAAATGTATTTTTCTTTCAGATACTATTCTTCTTGATTATTAAATTGTTATTGAAATATTGATAACATCAAAGACAATAAAATAATAAAAATGAAGCTTTCAAAAAATCAAGGAAAGGGTAAACAGATGAGATAGGTAAGACTAATTGCTGACTCCTTGTGACTAAGCACTTGTAGAGCCATCTATATGTAAAGAAAATAGATAAACTTTTATTACAGTGAGCATGGCATTATAGCCATGCCACCTGCTGACATTGGGTTAAGTGATTTTAATAAAGTATAATCAGATTTTTAAAAATATTTACTATAATCAATATAATTTTTAACACTTTAAGTAAGAGACACTAGAAAAACATTTACAATTTATTTTACTTTATTTTGTGTCCTTGGTATTATTATGCATCAACTATAACTCAATATAATAATAGAATACAACTCAGTAGATAAAGTCAAGACAGGAGTAGCTAACATTTTGTTCTTGCTATTGAATCATCACTTGTCGTAGACCTATTTTAAAATTTTGAACCTTCTGTACTCAAAAGCCTTTGGAGTCGCTCTAGATGCATCAAGCTGTAATTTAACCAAAAATGGGAGGCTAGCCAATTAGAGGCAGCACACACACCAGGCCTAAGGTAATGCCACATTTTTAGAAAAAAAAAAAAAGATTCAAGAACAGTAAAGTTAGAAGGAAATTTTTAGATTTCATTATTATCAAGTATTTGAATAATAAACAATCAAAACATGTTGGAGAAGCTAAACTACATCCACTTAAGAAAATAATTATGATTATAAATTACATGTATGAGCTAGTTGCTGTAACAATAATCAAATACAGTCAACTCCCCGTTAACGAGGGGGTTAGGTTCCTGGAGATACAGCGTTAACGAAAATCACGTTAACGGAACATAATTTCTCCATAAGAAATAATGGTAATAGTGGGGGTTAGGTTCCTGGACATTGGGAAAGTCTGCCTACTTTGGGAATTTTATTACTAAGAAACCTAAAAATACACATTATTATATATATGAAGGTTACAAAAACAATAAAAACACACTGTAGTATATTATTTGTACTATTGGAAGGCTCAATAACATAAATTTATTCATGTAAACAAACCTACGACGCATCAGACTCGTCACCACTGTCGGGTGTGTCAGGAGTGTCAGCTGACTCACTCCCTCCCTCCTCACCACTGTCGCCTGCCTGCCTCCCTCCCTCCTCACCCCGCTCTCCCTCCTTGCCTCTCTCTCTCTCCTCACCACGTGCTTCCTCCTTGCCTATTTGACTACAGTAGGCGGGATATTCAAACCGCGTATCTTCAAACATTTCACGCTAACAGAATATATCTCAATAAATTTTAACCCACGTAACTTCGAAATCATGTTATCGGAACTCGTGTTAACGGGGAGTTGACTGTACACCTGATTATCATATCTTTAAATTAGATTTTTGATATTTGAAAAAGTCTTTTTCCATATTTTTTTATTACCCTTTGCCGACGGGGAAAAATAATAAAAAATGGGGAAAATGCTGTGCTCATTTTTTATATTTTTTGGTAAAATGTCTCTACACATAGATGACTCTGCCTTACGTGATTTCATCTTTCCTGGAATTGGCGGGAAAATGTACTTTTACTAGTGATATGAATATCGATGGTGTTATTTTTATTATAAACATTATAATTACTATAATGTTATAAACATTAGTAATAACAAAATAAGATGATGTAAAATATTTTGGAAAAATAAAGAAAAGGATGAATGGGCGAGACAAGCAGTACTTGTAATTGGCTCATTGATGGCTTAGTACAAGTGTAGCCATCTATGTCTAAAAACAATCAAATAAGTAAACTCACAGTGGGCATGGCATGGCATGCACGTCAGCAGTGGGTTAATGATGCAACTTATCCAATTTTCCATAATTTACAATAAAAGGTGTAAAGTATTACCTTTTAGAGGTCAGATGTTACTACTTACAAAGTTTATTTTTTATTCATAGAAAACATAGAGTTCGCAGTTGATACTGAGCTCTGTTGCTCTCATTAAGATTTGGGTTGTGTCTTTTTTTATCTGTTATCAGTGCTCTTGATTGGACTTTATGTTATTTTCCTAACTAAATTACTAAAGTATGTGAATTTAGAATTGTCTAGTATCTGTTTTCAAGTTTTTCCCTAAGTGCTATGTAAAAGACATGAGGAAGTGGCCATGCTATATTGTAACTGATAGCCTGGTCATGCCACTATAAGTAATTAGATTTGTAATATCCTTGACTTGATTTTCATTATGCAGTGCTGTCATGTTATTGTTTGTTGTTTTAGCATGATAGTCTGATCACTGTCATTGCAAACACACAACTACAGTAAATGTTTTTCTCTTATATTTCAGGGTATGCTGTTGACCCATCCATATCTGGACATCCTGATGATGGAAGAAGATACATCGGAGATACTGCTACAGCCAAGGAAACTTCCGGGATAACAGTGTTTGAGACAAAGC